TATTAGTGCTTCAAGCTGACAAAACTAGCAGCTACTTAGCAGCTTAGATAGCGATAGTTGATCAGCTGGCTGATAATAGCTAATAATATTACTGTTAGTATTTCAAGTAGTGTTTCAAGTTGATTAAACTAGCTATTTAATTAGTTGCTTAGCCGCTTAGGTGGCTAATAGCTTGATTAGCTGACTAATAACTGCTAAATATATACCTTTTTTAAAATTATAATCGAATTAGAAATAATGATCATGACTAGAGTTAATACTTGGACCCGGATTTAATGATTAAATCCGGATTTAATTGTTAAATCCGGATTTATTGTTAAATCTGGATTTAATTGTAAGATCCAGATTTAAATATATCTCTGTCCACTCAGAATCTGTTTCAGAAATGTTTGGACAATACAGATATCATTGTTACCGGATTTAACAATAAATCCAGATTTAATCATTAAATCCAGATCCAAGTATTAACTCTATAATCGTGAACTAGGTTCATGTGTTTATAATAAATATAAAATTAGTAAATTCTTAATAATATGAGGTTTTAGAGTTATTAGAGTTATATTATAAATAGATTTGCATCAGATGAATCTGTAATAGACTTTTAAATGACCAATATATCTAACAATATAATTTTCATGCATATGAAATAGACTTATCACTAACACATGATAATAGTTAATCATACATTATTGTAATGATATAAATAGTTTATTTTTGACAGATGCATAAAAATATAAATAAGAGGAAGTCCAAACACAATATATCTTGAAAAAAAAGATACGAAAAAGAACATATTCTTAAGTAGATATATTGCTGTGACACTGTTTAATTTATATCAAACATGCCTAATGCTAAACGAAAATTTGGTAAGAAAAAAAAAAGCTCTTGAAATTACTAATAATTTATTTCAACTAATTTTTAAATTTTTAATAGAATTGAAAACTTCAAAAGGAGCCGCTAGCAAAAAGAAACCAGGTATTAATATAGATTATTTGGTTTTTCTCTTGTATTGTATTATCTAATATAATATTTTTAGATAATCAACGTCCAGCTACCAATAAAACACAAAGATCCAATAAAAGACAAAAAAATAATATCGCAAATCCTATTGTAAGTTTAGATGTAAAAAAAAATTAAATTAATAAATATAGTACCAAAAAAAAAAAACTGAATGTTAACAATATATCTATAATAAGATGCTGTCTAATGAATCATCACTTCAACCAAGTCAAACAAATCAAAGCGATAAAGAACAAAGTAATAAAGAACAAAGCAATAATAATATTGCAATTATCACG